GCTGGCGAGCCAAGCTCTGGTGCATCCCTCGTCCAGGGCAAAGGCCTTTGCCAGACCGTGGTGACTCCACAGCGAAGGATTTTCAGACCCAGGCCCCACCTGAGCTGTGGTTCCAGTTGAGCGGGTCTCAGCCAATGTTCCCTCTACATTTTTTCCATCCATTGGGTGGAATAAATTTTGTGATGTGCACCGAGGCGCGTGTGGGTGTGCACCACCAGGAGAAGCACAGGCTGCTGGCTGTGGGCGCTGTGCCAGTCAGCTGGGCGGCTCCTGAATCTCTCCTGGGCATCCTCCCAAGCACTTAACATACAGGGAAGGTGGGTCTCAGCCCAGACTCAGGGTCCCTCATGCCAGGAAGAGCAGCCTCCCAATAGGCCTGTTGAGTGCTGGCCAGGGAGTTCCCAGGCCCTGGAGCCTGACCTCCCATCTCTGCCCTGGGCTCGCTTCCAGGCAGGGCAGGGGGGTGTTTGCTTTTTGCTGTCTCCGCTCTGCGGCTGATAGAGGCCAGTCTCCCGGCCTGGCTCTGGCCCCTTCCACCGCCACGAAGGGCAGTCGGCAGCGGAGGCGGCCGTGGGGGCTTCTGACCCGTGTCTGTCTCTCTCAGCTCTCTACTGGTTTAACTACGAGCTGGTGAAGGAATGGCTCTGCCGCCAGTCCCAGCGGGACAAAGCCACTTTCATGGTCAGCTTCACGGCAGGGGCCGTCTCGGGGACGGTGAGTACGGGAGCGTCGCTTCTCCCCGGGTTTGCAGGCGAAGGGCCCTGCTGATGGCGGATCTGGGTCCATATGTCCCAGCTGCTCCCCTCCTTGAAGGGCTGGGCCCTTGCACCCAGCCGCCTGGGCGAGTTGGGTGCTGGGTGGCACCGTGCCTGGTACCCAGATGCCTTTACCCAGCCTTACCATGGAGCCGGGGGGTCGGTTGAGCAGCACAGGAAGGGCATCGCTCGGCGTTGGTCATTACACCAGGAGGCTGGGTGGAGGGTCTAACCTGCGCAGGGCAGTGGGCCGGGCAGGGCTGAGCACTCGGGGGTGGACAGGGGCTGGCAGGAGGGAGAAGTGCTGGATTGATGGGTGGCCTCTCCCCTTCCTCCAGGTGGCAGCCGTGCTGACGCTGCCCTTCGACGTGGTGAAAACCCAGCGACAGATTGAGCTGGGCGACATGGAGACCCTCCGAGGTGAGAGGGGCACGGCGGGAGCCCAGGAACGCAGCCGGGGGTTGGCCTCAGCCTGTGGCTCCAGCCGGGAATCCGCCTGGAACGGCCTGGCTTGGGGGGGGCTCGTGCACTGTCCCG